CTGCCCAGTTGGTGGAATGGACTCCCTAACTGCATCAGAACGGCTGACTTGCTGTCTTCAAGAAACGACTGAAAACTCAACTATTTAGTCTCCACTTCCCTTCCTAATCTGCAATTGCCTCTCTGACTCCTCCACTAACTACCTCAAAAGATATATATATACTAATGTTTTACTAATTACTAATGTTTAATGCTTCTTACACTTTCTTTACACACCTGAAACTTGCCTTTAGCACTCACTCATTGTTGCTCTTATAGTTGTGTAAATTGCTTCCTTGTCCTCATTTGTAAGTCTCTTTGGATAAAAGCGTCTGCTAAATGACTAAATGTAAATGTAAATAAACAAAACACATGAAGTCAAATATAATAAACTGGAATTACACAAACAAGACCTAGGAGACAAATGAGCAGAGTGGAGGTGGATCAGATAAAGTCAGTTTGGCAGATCAGAAGCGAAGCATTCATAAAATAAGTTAGTCTTAAGTAAGGATTTGCATTCAGAGATTTTATTAGCAGAGCGGAGTGAGCGTGAGCGTGGGAGAGAGTTCCAGAGTTTGGGTGCAATAACACTAAATGATCTGCCCCCCATTGAAGAGAGGCGGTACCGAGGGACAGCGAGAAGGCCAGAGTCAGCGGAACGTAATGAACGAGCTGGGGTGTAGGGGACAACAATCTTGCAGTGATATGAGGGAACTAGGCTATTTAGGGATCTAAATGCAAGGAGGAGAATTTTTAATTTAATGCGATATGCAACTAGGAGCCAGTAGAGGTCGTACAAGATTGGGGTTATGTGAGCAGAACGTTTGGTCATGGAAGGCCATTTTTGTCTGGTAGTGTGTTACTTTGACACTGTGCGCTGAGAAAATACATATTATATACTATAAGGCTCTGTTCACGCCGAGTATTAAGATGCATTTTCGTTAATCCAATAACAAGTGAACAATGCTAAGTGAAGTTTATTTATAAACAAATCGAGAGGATCACGTGCTTATGATTGTTCACAGCTGTTCCAACTTTAGCTAATGACTGATTATCCTATCAGACGATCCTTTACTCACTATAAATAACCAGACTTTTCTCATCTCAATATCTTCGTCTTGAAGAAACCCCCCCCCACCCAACCCTACTTTCCCTCCTTTCAAACAGGCGTCACAGTGGCCAGCGATTAGCGCTGTTGCCTCACAGCAAGAATGCCCCTGGTTTAATTCCTTTCCAAACCAGATGGCATTTCTGTGCGGAGTTTTCTCCCTGTGGTCGCGTGGGTTTTCCCCGGGTCCTCCGGTTTCCTCCCACAGTTCAAAAACAAGTACTCTAAACAATTAATCCAAATACTTTAGCTAAACTCTGAGTACACCTTTCAGCATCCAAATCTGACACTTAAATACAACAAGCAAGAGGGGGAGTCATCGAGATCTACCTGAGCTCAAACTCCCCTCTCGCCTTGCAACGGGAGGGAGCCCAGGGCTCGAGGATCTTATAAGCTCAGGGCTCTCTCCCGGGACAGCACGCCAAACTAGCTTTATTATCAATCATCAGCTAAGTGTGAACTCTTGAAATACAGGTTTCATCACTGGCTTGGTTGGATTGGGACTTGTGGAGCTGCCCTTTGATGGAGTTGCTGTTCAGTGTTTGAACTTTCAGCAGTGACATTTAAACCACACTCTGAAATCTGAAACTCTGAAATCTGGACTTTACTAGAAACTATGTCAAGCTGCTTTGACACAATCTACATTACATTGTGAAAAGTGCTATATAAACAAACATGAATTGAACTGAATATACATACTACAACTGTATATTTGTTAAATTAAACACAACAGCCTGCATGTAAAAGGAGAACTACTCTTCTCGAGGCCTTAGGAGATGATAGAAAAAAACCCATCAATTATTTCTTTATTCATTCATTTTCTTTTCGGCTTAGTCCCTTTATTAATCAGGGGTCACCACAGCGGAATGAACCCCCAACTTATCCAGCATATGTTTTACGCAGCGGATGCCCTTCCAGCTGCAACCCATACACTCTCATTCACACACATGCTGCTCCGGGGAAACCGGAGCACCTGGAGGAAACCCACACCAACACAGGGAGAAATGACCCAGCCGAGGCTCGAACCAGCGACCTTTTTGCTGTAAGGCGACAGCACTACCCACCAAGCCACCCACATACCCATTATCTATATTTTGATTAGTCAACACATAAAGTAACCTATTTCTAAAGCATTTTTATTTGTTCTGGTAGACAACTTTTAAAAACTTTATATATATATATATATATATATATATATATTTATAAATTCTGAAAGTTGTGCTGCCTTTCCAAGTGTTAAAGAGTAAAATCCAACACCCACCCACAGTCCCATCATCATTATTACATCCCTTGGATGTATTTATCATTATTATTTATTGTTATTGTTTATTTGTGTGTTCACTGCCCATTGGGAGTGGTTATGTTGTGTGTTTCTCTCTTACTTCCACTGTGTCTCTCTGCCTGCTCACTAGGT